GCTTGTTCGTGCCTTTTTACTATGTGGTTCGGTAAATGGGATTTACTGAACAAACTACCAAACAGCCGGACCACACGCAAGTGGAGTGTGCAGCCAATTTACCTCCCAGGATGGTGGGTAACCGCAGGCTAATAGACGAACGGCTGGGTGGTCGCCGTTTGCATAGTCGAACACGTAGTGGCGGCCATCTTGTTTAGTCGAATGCGGTCAGCGGGGTTTTGCCGTTGAGCTCATGGAACTAAAATCGTCCTCCCTCCTCAGCGGCAGTGCACCTTGCAGGGACCCCAATGGTGCAGATGGGACCGTGGTCTCCGCACCGGACTTATAGGGATTGCTAGACGGCCGGTCCAGATTCCCAACCAACCCTGCAGGAATACCAGGAGGAGGAGGTAAGCGATCCCTTTTCTCCACAGCAGATTCACAACCAGGGCCTGGGGGTAGGATTCCCTGACCCCATCCCAGCGGATGAGCTGGCATCTGGGCAGAGCGCAGTTGGCCTCTGCTCTCTCATATCCTCTGGTCCAGAGCCTGATTCCCTACAGGCTACCCCAGCGGAAGCACTGGCATCTGGGCAGAGCGCCTCTGACCTCTGCCCTACCTGTCCCTTTGTTCAGGACAGGACTGCACACCAGTTAACCCCCCCCAGCTGAAGAGCTGGCACCAGGGCAGAGTATCGCTGACCTCTGCCCACAAAGTAACCTCCACTCCAAGCCAGGGAACAACACAGAGACTGAGAGTGCCAGATATCAACCCAACATTGGTGGACACACTGGACAGAGACAGGCTCCCAACTTCACCAGGTCCAGTATTTGGTTGTGGGTGGGCTGCCAGACTAACTCAGGTACCGACCGGCATGAGGTCAGGCAAGGCAAACTTCTCCATGGGGTGTTCCACCGGCAGATAGTGGATGTGGCTCACATGACAAAATCCTACCAGTGGTTGGAAAAGGCAAGACTGAAAGACAGCACTGAGGCACTAATCCTAGCAGCACAGGAACTAGCCCTCAGAACCAAATCAATAGAAGCTGGAGTCTACCACAACAGGCAAGACCCAATGTGCAGACTGTGCAAAGAGGCTTTTAAGACAGTCCAACAGCTAGTAGCCGGATGCAAGATGTTAGCAGGAACAGCATACACTGAGAGGCAGAACCAAGTTGATGGGATTGTGCACCGAAACATCTGCACAGAATATGGATTGGACCAGCCTAAATCCAGATGGGAGATACGAAAAAGGGTAGTTGAGAATGACTGTGCTACAATCCTGTGGGACTTCAAGATCCAGACAGACGAGCAAGTGCTGACCAACCAAACTGACACTGTGGTCGTAGACAAGGAACGTAAGACTGCAGTCATGGTGGATGTCTATTACATGAGGAAGAAGGAACATGAGATGGTAGAGAAATACAAAGGACTGAAAGACAAGCTAGAAAGGATGTGGAAGGTGAAGACAGTAGTAGTCCCAGTTGTGATAGTTGTGACTCCCAAGTTGGGGGAGTGGCTTCAACAGATTCCATGTGGGACATCTAAAATTTTATAACATGACAGGAGGCTTCGTATTTGCTTTAGTCTCTCTTTACTAGAACTCCACAGCAGCACAGAAAAACAACCAATCAGAAAAAAAGTTAGGTACTATAAAACCCCCTTCCCATTGCATCATTCCCTCTTTCTTTGCTGCTCCGCAGTCAGTACAGGTCAGAGTACCACTGCCTCCTGCTTATAGTGGGTGGCTTTGGGATTTAGTGTGATTTATTTATGATTGTTATTAATTATGCTTGCTTGTGAGATTTATGTGCCTTTCTGGCTCTTTTCTTTTCTTTGGGGAATGTTTCCTTTACATTACTGATAGTTTGCCATGTGTTTATTTACACAGATTACTGATAGTTTGCCATGTGTTTATTTATACAGATTGCTGGTAGTTTTCCATGTGTTTATTTACACAGATTACTGGTAGTTTTCCATGTGTTTATTTATACAGATTACTGGTAGTTTTTCCATGTGTTTATTTACACAGATTACTGGTAGTTTTCCATGTGTTTATTTATACAGATTACTGATAGTTTTGCCATGTGTTTATTTACTCAGATTACTGATAGGTTTTCCATGTGTTTATTTGTACAGATTACTGGTAGTTTTGCCATGTGTCTGTTTATTTATACAGATTACTGGTAGTTTGCCATGTGTTTGTTTATTTATACAGATTACCGGTAGTTTGCCATGTGTTTATTTACACAGATTACTGATAGTTTGCCATGTGTTTATTTATACAGATTACTGGTAGTTTTTCCATGTGTTTATTTACACAGATTACTGGTAGTTTTCCATGTGTTTATTTATACAGATTACTGGTAGTTTTGCCATGTGTTTATTTACACAGATTACTGGTAGTTTGCCATGTGTTTATTTATACAGATTACTGGTAGTTTTGCCATGTGTCTATTTATACAGATTACTGGTAGTTTTGCCATGTGTTTATTTATACAGATTACTGGTAGTTTTGCCATGTGTTTATTTATACAGATTACTGATAGTTTGCCATGTGTTTATTTATACAGATTACTGATAGTTTTGCCATGTGTTTATTTACACAGATTACTGGTAGTTTTCCATGTGTTTATTTATACAGATTACTGGTAGTTTGCCATGTGTTTATTTACTCAGATTACTGGTAGTTTGCCATGTGTTTATTTATACAGATTACTGGTAGTTTGCCATGTGTTTATTTACTCAGATTACTGGTAGTTTGCCATGTGTTTATTTATACAGATTACTGTCAGTTTGCCATGTGTTTATTTACTCAGATTACTGATAGTTTGCCATGTGTTTATTTACTCAGATTACTGGTAGTTTGCCATGTGTTTATTTATACAGATTACTGGTAGTTTGCCATATGTTTATTTATACAGATTACTGATAGTTTTGCCATGTGTTTATTTACTCAGATTATTGATAGGTTTTCCGTGTGTTTATTTGTACAGATTACTGGTAGTTTTGCCATGTGTCTGTTTATTTATACAGATTACTGGTAGTTTGCCATGTGTTTATTTATACAGATTACTGGTAGTTTGCCATGTGTTTGTTTATTTATACAGATTACTGGTAGTTTGCCATGTGTTTATTTACACAGATTACTGGTAGTTTGCCATGTGTTTATTTATACAGATTACTGATAGTTTTGCCATGTGTTTATTTATACAGATTACTGGTAGTTTTTCCATGTGTTTATTTGTACAGATTACTGGTAGTTTGCCATGTGTTTATTTACACAGATTACTGATAGTTTGCCATGTGTTTATTTACACAGATTACTGGTAGTTTGCCATGTGTTTATTTATACAGATTACTGGTAGTTTTGCCATGTGTTTATTTATACAGATTACTGGTAGTTTTTCTATGTGTTTATTTACACAGATTACTGGTAGTTTGCCATGTGTTTATTTATACAGATTACTGGTAGTTTTGCCATGTGTTTATTTATACAGATTACTGATAGTTTTGCCATGTGTTTATTTATACAGATTACTGGTAGTTTTGCCATGTGTTTTATTTGTACAGATTACTGGTAGTTTGCCATGTGTTTTATTTATACAGATTACTGGTAGTTTTGCCATGTGTTTATTTATACAGATTACTGGTAGTTTTGCCATGTGTTTATTTATAGAGATTACTGGTAGTTTTGCCATGTGTTTTATTTGTACAGATTACTGATAGTTTTGCCATGTGTTTTATTTGTACAGATTACTGATAGTTTTGCCCTGTGTTTTATTTGTACAGATTACTGGTAGCTTGCCCTGTATTTTATTTGTACAGATTACTGGTAGTTTGCCATGTGTTTTATTTATACAGATTTCTGGTAGCTTTCCATGTGTTTTAGTCACAGATTTCTGTGAGTTTCCATATGTAGATATATCACAAATTACTGTGAGTGTCCAGGTCTATATATCACACATTACTGTGAATTTCCATGTAGATATGTCACAGACTATGGCGAGTTTCCACCTAGATATATCACAGATTTCTCGGATTACTGTGAGTTTCTATGTGTATATATATATATCGCGGATTTCTGTGAGTCCTTTTTGCTCTACTCCTGAAGAGACCATGAGTACAATACCCTTCAGGCGGTACGATGATGATGATGACCTACAATAAAGATAAGATATCTCATACGGATCTGTATGTACACGTGCATTACAATTTGCACCTTAAAGAAGGTATTGCTCAGCAGAGCTTGATTTTATGGACACTCACTGGAACATGTCCAGCTTAAACCCAATACAACTGGTTTTACCTCTATGTTGCCTGCTGGGCACTTAGGGACCGCCAGTCCCGGTTACGGTTTATTCACACAGTAGTACGCTGTCTAAGATTAGTGTCTAAGGGTACTAGGTCACAGGATTCCCGGAGGATTTACAGATATTTAGGGGACTCTGCCAAACTCAGAGGTCCCCATTACTCATTTAAGATGAAACCCAGGATTGGCCTGCTATGTCTGTGCCCCATTAATGGGCCTGCTATGTCTGTGCCCATAATGGGCCTGCTATGTCTGTGCCCATAAGATTGGCCTGCTATGTCTGTGCCCATAAGATTGGCCTGCTTTGTCTGTACCCATAAGATTGACCTGCTCGGTCTGTGCCATAAGATTGGCCTGCTCTACCTGTGCCCGAACTCCCCTTTGGACCACAAACCTCGGGGAATATCACTGAAGTAAGCACAGTACCCTCTAGGTGGGTGTCCGGACAGACACTGCTGCCAGATTATCCAAGAGGACACCAGGATATGGACATCTAACTGTGATTGGAGGGGTGAAGGCCCTACACCTCATGCCCTGAAGGGCAAAGTTTTTATGAGAATTCCGGGCACGCAATTACGGGTTATACCCAACGACGACACATCTCCAATGGGAATTTCGCACAAGCAGGGAACAGTGCTCAGACGCCATATTAGGTATTGGTAGTGTTTTTCTATGTCATGTTTAGCTCCTGACCTTTTCAACTGGATTCACTTGATTCGTTTTTTTCCAGTTCTGCTATCCGACCTGCTTTCCGAGGTACGTATTTTCCACTTTCTACTTCATTGGTCGTTTCTTTGTTTTCGTGACTTCTATTGTCCTATTGCTCGGGTCGTCGAGAGGCCTGATTTGACCTCCTCCGACCTCCCGGGCACTTGTGGATTGCGGAGAACGTCTCCAGCTTTCCTCAGACTACCGACGGTCATCCTGGAGCCCGCGCGCACGCACGGGATCCGGGCGGTCCGTTGATAGTTACCATCTTCAGCTCCGAAACGTACTTTTCTCATCACCCCTTTCTCTTAAGGTCGGACACGGACCGAGGTTGTATACTTTGCTTATATTAAATAAGGGTGTAACCCCACGTTTGGTCAACCTGAGTCTCTACTGGACTCTGGTTTGGATTACAGAGGGTGCGGCCCTCCTTCACCTCGGCCCGAGACTGATATTTTTATTTTTCAAGAGTAGAGGGTGAACCCCTCTCATTTACCGAATTGGACACTGATTCATTATTAGAGGGCGTGGCCCTCCCTCAACCTCGGCCCGATAGTGAGCTGGATATAGAGGACATGCTCCGAGTGACTCATTCTCATAGAAGGAACGCGGACTCAGAGTGCGATCACATTTTACAGAGTGCGACTCTCTCATACACTCAACGCACTATGGTGCCGTCCATTTGTTCCTCACACAGGCTTGTACCTGTACAGGTCAACTATGACCGCATGGGTCCCTCCTACATCCAATTTAAATATGATGACCGCGCTACTGATTTCGTTCTAGAGGGCTACCTGATCGGGCTAGGTATACATAGTTTGTCTGGATCCATCTTGTAATCCACATGAGAAATGCCCTCAGAGGTATTAGTTGGGGAGGTTTCCCACTTATGTACACACATTCCGGGAGACAGTACGGCTAAGGAGGAACCTCAGTTCTTATAAGAGTACAGGTTTTGGTAAAGCCTGTGCTATATCAAACAGACTTTGCACTCTGTTTCAGATATTCATTGTGTACAAACTGTGCAGACTATTCTCCCGTGTCAGGGTGACATGAGATTCTGAGACCTGCATAGGGCAAACGGACACTGCTTTGCTTGAGTAACAAGACTGGAAAATTCACATAAACGGTTTTCAGGTGCACCGTATGCATGGATCGCATGGAGAAACCGAAATTCTCAGGACTTGGCTTCCCTGGTCCTTACAATCTTGAGATAAAGTTGGCAGGACTGCTCCTACAACTCTGAACACACCTTGAGAACAGTGTTCGGACTCTATATCCATCACGGGAACCATCTTGATTTGGGTTCTCACTAGCCTTCCTATTCAACTACCATCAAGGAAACCTACACTGGGAGATACATGCTTGGACAGTCTATGAGACAGGAACCTAGGGGTCTCACTATATTATTCCCTATCTTGTAGGTGGCGTGTAGGCCAGGAACCCCTACACGAATATTGACAGGTCGGGCATGGAACAGGATTGTACAAATGGTAACCAGAGTATCTCACACTCACTGCAACACGTAAGGGCTCTTCTGTGTTATACGGTCCTAAACTCTATTGGATCCGGCCATCTTAGCACTCTTAGAGGACGATGTATTTGGATGGAAATCTCAACCCCGGTTTCCGGTCCCATCCTTTTGAGCTTTCCATGATCCACAATTCCCAGAATAGTTGACCACCGTTTACCACACGAGTTCAGTTTGAGACCTTGATTGGACGCCCTTTGGATGTCTTTTCTAGACTGCAGCCGTGGATTACACAGTCCAGTTGGTAGACTGGAGTCTCTTAGGATACAGCTAGTATTGTCCACACTATTATCTGTATATAACTTTATTTCGGAGGAGACAATTCACCAGGTAGGTCATAAAGGAACGAATAGACACTATTCGGTTCTATTCGAGTATTGACGGTGGACTTAGGCGCCGGCCTGAGGTTGGAGTTTGTCTGCAAGGCCACATCGCCTGGTGAACCTGACACGATCGGAGGAATCACCTCTCACATCAAGAGTCGAGACACGGTGGAAGTCTCTTCTCGCGACCCCTCAGCACTTTGCACCTACAGGAATATGGCTAATAGGTCAACTTGGCGGCCCATGGACCGACTGCTAGGGAACAGGTCGTAACCCCACGTACAATGGATCTATCAACGGAGGTCACTTCTCGCAGTTGGAAGGTCGATTTAGGATTGCTCTAATATTCTCGGAATGGGTACCAGTGAAACAAGCAGCGTTGGATTTGTTGGCTGAGCGTTAAAACAGCAAATACGAAGCCTCCTGTCATGTTATAAAATTGTATGATTATGCTAGCTTTAGTGTACCTATCATCTTAATTTTATTAATGACAGGAGGCGAGTATTTCCCACCCATTCTTATCCCTCCCTTGTTTAATTTTATAGTTTGGATTTATCAGGTACGTATACAACTCTGCTTGTTGTTTCTGCTACCTGTCACCTGTCCTTATGTCTGTTTTTCATAAGTAAGGGTTGGGATATCTACATATTAAGGTAATTTTGTTTGCTACATTGGGTATCTACAAGTTTATTCAAAATACATTTCATTGGATAATCAACCTGTTCGATTCTGTTTTTCTCTCGTTTCAGTTTCCAGTCCTTCAGCACTATCTGGTGTGGCGCTTCTTCGTGGATGGTGGGCATTGACTTATTTTCAGTCCATCAACGCTATCCGGTTGACAGTTCTTCTCAGACGTTGGACATTGCTGTATTCATTGTATCTGGACTTCGTTGCTTCCCATTATTTTTTCTGCCTTTGTTCTGTTTTGTCGCAGCTTGAAAGAGGAAATGATGCAATGGGAAGGGGGTTTTATAGTACCTAACTTTTTTTCTGATTGGTTGTTTTTCTGTGCTGCTGTGGAGTTCTAGTAAAGAGAGACTAAAGCAAATACTCGCCTCCTGTCATTAATAAAATTAAGATTATAGGTACACTAAAGCTAGCATAATCTACAATTATTGTCCAGAAGAGTGCAATTCTAGGAACAGCTAAGATACTGTGCAGAACCCTCAAACTCTCAGGCCTCTTGTAGAGGACCTGAGAAAATATATATTTTTTTCTATATATATATATATACATATATACATATATACATATATATATATATATATATATATATATATATATATATATTTGTGTTAGGTGCTTAAGATAGTACAGTGTGAAATACCATGAATAAGCGTAGGATGATAAAAGGCGCAAGTCGGTTGTGGTGTGCCGAAACCGACGATGAGGTAGGCCTGAGAAAGAAGAGGGCCCACCCAGGAAAAGAAATAGAAAGGAAATAAATGTTAAAAGTGGTGTGGTGGGAGGGTCATTCAACGCTGACCTCGAACGGTAAGGAGCCAGGCAAGGGGAGTGCCTTAAGTAGGCTAGGGGTAGCAAACCAGCACCTCCCACAAATGCAGGCAAATTGCCTTAATACTTGTGTTAGGTGCTTAAGATAGTACAGTGTGAAATACCATGAATAAGCATAGGATGATAAAAGGAGCAAGTCGTTGTGGTGTGCCAAAACCGACGATGAGGTAGGCCTGAGAAAGAAGAGGGCAAAAATTAAGTAATCAAATTTATTAACAGACAACCAATACATATACATTTATCAACCAGACATGTTTATGAAAGCATCCCTTAATTCTTGTACTGGGTTCGGTATGGACTTCCAGCGCCCCAGTGTTTTGATAACATGAGTTGGGATGTTGAAACTGGAGGCTGTGGACGCGGCTCCTATACGAAAGGAGTGTCCTGAGTAATTGTTTGCATTGAGGCCCAGTTGTGTGAGCAAGGACCTGACGTAGGTCATGAAGGTTGTAGTGGTGAGTACTGCACCTTGTAGTTGTAATAACGGTTGTGAGGGCAGTAAGTGATGGTGCTGTATGTAGGCATCAAGAACCTTGACGGGACACCATCTGTTGTGCATGGGATAGTACGGAATGTTTACAGGTATGTGCTGGCTGGTTTTGGAGTGAGGTAAAGACAGGATGTAATGATCCATATGTTTTGTCAAGTGGGAATAGAGGAGGAATGGAGTGGTTTGGGTCGTGGAGGTCGTAGTGAATTCTCTGGGTCGTAGAAATCCATAGAAAGCGATGTATATTGCTGTTTTGATGATAGAATTCGTATTAGTGTCAAACGGTTTTAGGTCGAGTAGGTTAGATAATGCTTTGAAGATATGGTTATCTATGGGTAGCCTCTGGGCCAAATGTGTGGGTTCTGATTTTTGAATACCTCTGAGTATGGTCTTAATTTGGTGAGAGGCCATGAAACTGTTGTTATTTGGGTGTAAGATGAGCATGTGGTGTTGAATGCCAGTGAGATAGAGTTTGATGGTGTTGTATGACATTTTGAGTTTAAGGTGGCAAAAGGAAGCAAACCCCAAAAAAGATGTCATAACAAACGGTTGTATGATGTTATGTTCCAGAAGGAATCGTTTGAATAGTGTGAAAGCCCTGTTGTATGTTTTGTTTGTATTGTGTGAAAGTGCCAACTGAGACAATGTCCTGCTATGCTGCATGATGACATCTAGTCCAGTATGAGTTGTTGAAATGTTGGAGTGATGGTGGCTGTGGGTGCTGCTGACGGGAGTGCTTGATGAAACTCCTGAAATTTAAAGCGAGTCAAACTGTCAGCAGCTGTGTTATATACACCTGGCACATGGAAACAACATAGGAAGAAATTATGACAAGCTGCCAACCAAGTGAGTCTCCTCAGAAATCTCATAATCGTAAGAGATTTGGAACGACCTTTGTTGATGATGTGACAGGTTGCCTGGTTGTCTGAGTAACAACGCACTGGCGTATTAGCCCATAAATGACCCCACGCTACGGCAGCCGCCACTATGGGATAGATCTCAAAAAGAGCTGAGGAAGTGGAAAAACCTTCCAAATCCAGAACTGCTGAAGGCCATCTGCCCCAAAGCCATTCATTCCCAAAAATTGCTGCAAAACCAGTGGTAGATGCCGCATCTGACCAAATGGTAGGAGATGATTCAGTCAATTGAGGGAGGAACATACTTTTACCATTCCAAGTGGTTAAAAACCTCTTCCACATGTTTAGATCTGCCGTAGCTTGGGCATCTAAGGACAACCTGTGCGTGTCATGTAGAAAAAGTGGGAAAAGATGCAATAGTCGTGAAATAAAGGAGCGGCCTTGAGGTATGATGCGCATTGCAAAATTTAGTGACCCCAGCAGGGACTGTAGTTCTTTGCGGTTGCAAGTGCTGAGCTGTAGGTAGTTGTTTATGTAAGTGAGAATATTCTCTATCTTATCGTATGGTAGGCTTGCTTGCATTGTGGCAGAGTCTAATTGGATACCCAGAAAAGTGATAACCGTGTCTGGCCCTTCTGTTTTCTTTGGGGAGATGGGTACACCTAGTTGCTCAAACAGCTTAGTGGTAGCTTTGA